GTTTCCGGCCCACTACCTTTTAAAGTCAGAGTTTTGGTTAAAAAAAGGTAGGCAGTCTAATTAGGCCTAGAGGAGTACAGAAGTAAAATTTTGTGACGATAGCACTTATCGTTTTAATTCTGTGGGTGTGCCCAAAGTGGCACACTGATTGAATAGAGCTTCGAAAAGAGTGCTGAAATGAGCATTGTTGTCAATGAACTGACCAATGAAATGCGGAGAAACAAAGAATACAGACTCTCAGTTGTCCTAGATTATCAGTGAGCCCGATCTGGACACACTAGGGTTCGCCATTTGATTTTAGGCAAGATTTCAAGGTAAAAATTGAAAACTAATATAGAATAAGGAGATTAGCATACAGCCAAAAAAAAAATAACATAGAAATTTCTTTTCAAACAATTCCTTTTATACCCTAAAAAAAATGTGGAAGATTTCTTTGAAAAATGAGGGTCTTAAAAACTAAACATGGCTAAAATATATGGACTGGTTTGTGTTGAGCTGCCTTCTACTATAAATAAAGAAGGTTGAGAGTAACCTATAAATCATTTTTCATTCAATTTTTATGTGCATACAGAAGGAAATTTTTAGGTGAGTCCAGACCAGACACACTGTGCCGCAAAGGGTTAAATGTCTTTACGTAGAGAATCTATAATATATTGATCTACTTTGAATATTATTTTCAGATATAAAGTGGATGCTCATTAATTTGAACTAATCCAAAGGCCCTCCAAAACTCACATTGAATTAATGTTAAAAATATCTCATTAATTCAAATCAAATTTTTATCACTTTGGTTAAATCGAACTAAAAATTTGACAAAAAACTTCTTTTTCCTCATTTAATGTAGGAAACATGCTAATTTTTATTTATTTTGTGTGTCAGAATATCTGTATTTCTTTTCTGCGTAAATAGGCACAAGCCTGTATTTTTGGACTATTGCATTTTCACTAAACATTAGTGGCTATTGTCCTACTATTGACCTCTTATTGGTGCTTAACAGACAAAGCTGCCTGGCCTAACCTGTTTCCTTGGATTTGTTCAAAACTCTTTATGAATGGGTTAGGTAGGGGGAGAATAATTTTTTATTTGTTATAACTTTCCTTAGAATTTCAGAAAAACCAGTCTTCGTAAAAATATATTTCACTGTGCCCCTTGGTGAAAATTAACTATTTTTGGTGATTAGCTAGCAAGGCACAATTTCAAGATGGCCACTACACAAAATCAAAATAAAAAGTCAAAGAATTGCACAAACTCAGAGTCCATGTACACATCGATCTATTTTCACTTAAAATAACATCAGAGAATTGCACAAACTCGGCATTGCATGCTCCCTTGAATTTGTCCATGTACACATCAATCTATTTTCACTTTTAAAAAAATCAGGAGAATTATGACATCATATAATGTTTAATCAAAGTTACTCATGACCAAAATTTATATCCAGTCGAAGCTCAAAAACTGAATTTTAAATCACACAATGAAATAACATAGGGAAAATACATATTATCCCACATATGCACTACAAAAAGGAAATATTGAAACCATATTTAGAAATTTCTGTGCCTTCAGTCTGTAGCACACAAAATTCCTAAACAGCATCCAAAAACTTTCTAAAATTATCTGAACTAGAATATGCATACTGCCGTCACCACATAAATTCACAAAAATAAGAGTAAAAAATATCTTCTGTAGTGCCGGATTATTGATGGCATTTCTTGCATGAACTTTTCTTGCGACAAACCCATTCAGATCCAGCTGAACGATCTTTATGTTTGATCATACTCATTTCCTCTTGATTTACACACCAGTCAGTTAATTCTTTTTTTCCCTTTCGTTCCAAATTGTACAGAAACTTCAGATTAATCTCGTCACATACAGCCGTTTCATGATGTACAGCACAAAATAAGCAATGTACTTCCTAACTGACATCCAATGCAGAAATAACCCCTTACAATTATTTTACCATCAGTCAAATTCACTGCAATTACACAACCAATCCTGTCATAATAGGGTTACCATAACATTCAACTACTCAGGTTACCATAAATGAAACAACAACTTTGCGATAATCCAAGGGGCACCCTAAAATATATACTAACCCCAGTCTTTATTACAGATTCTAGAGAACTGTGTCAATTATGCCTGCAGTTCAGACGAGTTAATGTGTTCTATTTTTTTTTCTCAGTGTGTGGTGTGAACGTGTAAAAATTCAAGATGTTTATATGTGGAAAGTACAAAACTCTTAACATTGGAGAAAAAGGTAGAAATTTTAAAGCAAGTAGAGAATGGGGAATGTAAATCAAGTTAACAGCTGACTATGGAATTAAAAGAAATACCTTGTCAACTTATTTGAAAAACAAGGAAACACAGAAATGCATCCCAAGAAGATTTAGAAAAAACTCTACTGCTATGGTTCCATGAGGCTAGATCTCGAAATTTTCCGATGAATGGACCCCTACTGCAGACGAAGGCTAATGAATTGGCAAGTCGAATGGGTATTGAAGATTTTAAATGCAATGATGGATGGCTTCCTCAATTTAAGTCAAGGCACATTATTTCTTATCAATCTGTATGCAGCCAAAGCCCTGACGTAAACGAAGACATATGCACTAATTTTGGTAGGAAACTGCTAGAGCTCTTCTCTACTTACCTGCTGAAAGATATTTTTAATGCAGACGGAAGTGCATTTTTTTTTTTTTTTTTAATAAACTCTTGCCAAACAAGACATTGCGTTTTAAAGTGGATACTTGCTGTAGTGTCTGGTCCTCCAAAACTGTAACACCGAAAATAGATAGCGTCCTCTAGGCGAGAGAAAGGGTAAGTTGGAGACTGGCTTTTGGCGGGAAAGGCCAAGTGCTTAGTATGCTGAGTGTGGTAATTTTATAAATTTAAGCAATTCTATCAATTTACTTATTTCTACTTGTGTAAAGTGTATGTAATTTATGTTGTGTGTTGTAAGTAAATAAGAAGATTAATCTGAGTTAATTGTGGGCAAGACTCCAACACCGGCCACGGCTGGATCCTACATTTGCATAGGAGGTAAAAGCAGTAAACAGACGATTACAGCTTTAGTTTGTGCTAATATGGATGGAAACGAAAAGCTTACATTATTAGTCATTGGGAAGTCCAAGAATCCACTGTGTTTTAAAGTAATTCGAACACTGCCAATTGATTACATATCCAATACAAAAGCATGGATGACATGAGATATCTTCAGTAACTGGTTAAAAGGAATAGATAAGAAGTTTTCAAGGCAAAAGCATATAAGATTCTCTTATTTGTAGATAATGCAACCTGCTGCAGTAATCTTCCATAACTGAGTTCAATACAGGTTGGATATTTGCCACCAAACACAACTGCGAAGCTACAACCAATGGATCGAGGAATCATTCAGATTTTTAAAGCAAATTATTGTAAGAGACTTTTACAGCAAATAATTTTCTCTTTAGATTGTGATGAAAACTATGACATTACTCTGCTGAGATCTTTAAATGATGCTATACGCCACATAGGATGCTGTTAAAGAAAGCATAATTAGTAATTGCTTTTGTCATGCCAAATTAAAGCTCGCCGAAGAGAACTATCATATTGAAGAATATGACGATATTGATACAGCTTTACCTGGTTTAAAAAAAATTAAATGTGATAATGTTACTTTTCTGATTATGAAAGGGTAGATGAAGACTTGGAATTGTGTGGAAAACTGAAGAGATCTAGGAAGTTTTTGAATGCTGTTAAGAAATTTTGTTTGAAGACATGTTAATTCATAAATAAGTTAAGTAGATATTTCCTTTGTGTAGTGCAAAGATGAATTTCCTTTTTTATGCTATTTTATTGTTTGATTTAAAGTGTAGTTTATTGAGACTATATATTTTTTTGTTGGTTGCTTCTTTGACTTTTTAAATGAATATAGTTCGATGTGTACATGGATAAAGTCAAGGGAGTGCGCAATGCCAAGTTTGTGCAATTCTCTGATGTTTTTTTAAGGGAAAATAGTTCGATGTATACATGAATACCGAGTTTGTGCGATTCTTTGTCTTGTTATTTTGGCTTTGAGTCGGAGCGATTTTAGTCAGTGATTTTTGGCACAAAAATCGTTGCTACACAAAGCTAGCTTAAGTAGAAGAAATGGCTGATAAGAATAAGTCTGTAATACCAAGGTTATGTGAAGAAATTGTTGATCATTTGAAAATATCATCAAAACCGTTTGTTGGATATATTTAAGGAGGATAACTGAAAACTTCAGAAACATGTATTATAAATCCATACTCTTTCAATTTGGGTAATATGTCAGGTGATAAACTATACAGCTGTACTTTCCATCAAGATTACATCCAACGTAAGGTCTTTATATATGCCAGACATTTTAAATCATCATAATGGTATATATCTGTAATTGGGCCTTAGTAAGAAATTTACATAAGCTATTTAATGGTGAAAAACTGAAGGAAGATCTCATAGAACTGCACACAAACCGTGGTCTTCAAATGCAGTTTGAAAGCAATATTTTAGAACAATATTGGTGTTCAGTAATGAATATATTTCCAAAACTTGATGAAAAGGCACTGTGCTCATCCAGTTTACAACAACGTACTTCTGTGAGTATGGGTTTAATGCCATTTTGTCACTCAAAACAAAATTCAGAAATTGTTTGGGTGCAGAAGCAGATATGTGAATTCGTATTAGCAACATAGTTCCACGATTTGAAAACTCGGATCCTGTAAATAGAAACAAGTCATTTTCTTTTTAAAAGTACATGCAAATGTTAATTTTTGCTGTATTTTCTTTTTTTCCATATTTTCATGTTTTGTTTATTATTAAAATTTTATTCCACACCTTTGTTTTCAGTTTTTTTAAAGGAACTGCTTCAGGGGGTGCAAGAACACATTAAAATTTTTTAGGGATTCGTGGCATGAAACAGGTGTTTTAAGTATTATAAATTTGTTTAAGCCTTTTTATTTGACCTGATTAATTTTCAGCCTCTCTTGTTTTTTATATTTTAGGTTGCTCCTGAAGAATACAAGGCAACGATTACACGAGTGAATTGTGTCTTGAGAAAAACACTTCCTGTAAATGTCAAGTGGCTTTTCTGTGGTTGTTTATGTTGCTGCTGTACCCTAGGCTGTTCCCTATGGCCTGTAATATGCTTAAGCAGAAGGGTAAGCTGTCTGTTGTATGTTAATTATGATTTTTTTAACTGAATTAATTTTTTTATCAAACTTCATTTTGATTTCTTTTTTTTTTTTTTTTTTTTTCCTTTTTTGTCAGACTCGTCATTCTATAGTTAAAGTTCTGGAATGGGAAAATAATCACCTTTATCACAAAGTAAGTAATTTTCTATCATTCTTTATTGTTTTAATAATAGTTAATTATCAGAACAGTGTCATATTCATATTAATTTTACTTTTAAATGATTGATCATCTTTGTTGTATCTTCTAGTAATAATTCTTCCACTTAAAGAATAATAATGACAACGTGAATCAAAAATAATCTTGACATTATTATTACTTCAGTATTTCTTTATGAGATGTTTATTTATTTATTTATTTATTTATTTTTTGGTGTGTGTGTGGTGTGAAATATGTTTAACTTATTTTCCCATTCTCTGCTTGAACTAGAGTGATAATAAATTATTTTTTTAAGTTAATTAAATTTATTTATAAATGTAAAATGTTTCAAGAATGAGAAAGATGCTTTGATTATTTTAAAAATGTGATTTGATAATTTTTATGTTGTATGAATCTTTTCAGAGCAAAAGTCTTCAAAATTGACAAACTCCTGAAACTTTAATTTCCTTTTGTTGAAACTTTAAAACTATATATTTTGAGGCAATCCCTAAAAATGTAGTTTTTGGTAGAATCCCATCCATTCTCAGAAAATTAAATTTTAAAAATACATCAGAAATGCACTTTGTCCACAAAAGCCCATATGCAGCTATTATTTTCACAGTCATTGGTCATATTTATGTACTTCCTGCTACAGAATTATTTGAAATGAGGCAGATATTTATGTTATGCATTTTAAAATTTGAAAAATTGGTTTTGTAAAACGTAAAATCTTAAATTGACTGTGATATTTAATTTCAAAATTTGAGATATTTTTAGATGTTCACTGCTACTTTTCATCTTTTCTTGAAAGGTCAATTAAGAAGAAGGAAGGGAGGGGAAGAATAGTTCAGGGTTGATATTTTGTCCCTTTCGTTCAATGATATACCTTTGTAATTTATTGGTATGTAACATTCTTTAGTTTTGTAATGTTCGGCATGCTGTAAGCATTTTTATAAAAGTAATCGCTAATACTGATTTTATCTCTGTTTGTCTATATTCTAAATTGAAAAGTTCCACCATCTGTCTGGCGCATTATAACTTTGAAGGTTATGTGCCATGAAACTAACAACAACTGCAGGTAATCTCAAATGCTAAAGGTTTTCAAATATTAAAAAATGTTAATAATATTCACATGCAGTGTTATTACTGTAGAAACATAGTTTAATAGGCATACAAAAAAAAAAAAAAAAAAAAGAGCTCTGAACGAGAAATAGTTTATAATTTATGCAAATAATGTTCTAAATTAATTGTGGGTGAATTTTAAAGTTTTGTACTGTTTTTTAGAGCTTAAACTCCAAAAGTTTCAGGGAATAAAGATATTCTTTTGGAGGGAAAAAAGACCGAAATTCGGTTATCAGTGATCCATACCTGCCAACTTTTACGAATTTTTCTTAATTTTTACGAAAATGCGTTTGTCTTTACGATTTTACGATCGTAATCCATTTTTTACGATTTTTTTTTTCCTTTTTCAAGTGTTTTTAGTGATTTTTGTCGAAATTTTAGAATTTTTCACCAATTCAGCGATTTTCGGCAATTGCATCAAGTTTTACCGCCAATTATCAACTACTTCAAATTCAGTAACCTGCGGTTTCTCCCAATTCAATGCGCTGAACTTGTTTCTCCCACTCTTTTCTTTGTGGGCGCCAGATTATTTTTTTCGCGTTCGCTTCAGCAGCAAGGGAATTACTCAGCGAGCGTGGATTGTCACATTCTGTTTTTTTTTTTTTTTTTTTTTTTTTTGTTTGCACGTGCTACGAATTTTCTTAATACGTCGTTGTTACGAAATCAGTTCAAAAAAACCGTATTCTCAATATTTTCGGCCTGCCTACAAAGCCGAATTTCCAACAATTAAAGAATCCTTCAAAGGAAATAACTATGCATTTTGCAACATGTGCAAAATTCTGAAACATGTATGCACGAGATGGTTATCCTTAGGCAGAGCGCTAGGAAGGTTTATTGAACAGTGAGATGCATTGCTAAAATATTTCCACGAAGAGACCAAAACGAAACCACAGATCCCATCAAATTTGTCGGCATATGAGATTCCGAAAACCAACTTTGCTTCTAATCAAAATGCTTTAAAAGGGAAAAGCCAACACACAGAATCAAACCCTTTAAAAAGAAAATGCTTAGAAGACTCCTCAAAGGTCAACTTTGTTAAAGAAGTTGAAGGGAAGAAGAAACAGTCTTCTATTAGCCGGGAGGAAAGGATTTTCTACCTTCTTTCTTCGGATTTGAACAAAGCATATTGTAGTTTTGTGTTAAGTACCATTAAGATTTTTGAAAGTGTAAATACCCTTCTACAATCAGCTTTGCCAAAATCTCCCCTGCTTATCCAAATTCTTAATAATCTTTTGAAAGAACTTTTATACTAAGTTTGTAAAACCGTCCGTTGTGAAAAACAGTGTGTTGATTCGTGTTGCCTATAATAGTTTGGCAAATCAAAAGGATGACAATGATCTTATAATTGGAAATCAAACCAGAGAACTTGTAAATTCTTTGAAAGATCATGAGAAAAAAGAATTTTTTCAGTGTGTTAGAAAGTACTTTTCCTCAGCCTGTGATTACATTGTAAGGAAGTTTCCTTCGCAAAATGAATTTCTTTTAAATGCTGAAAAGGCAAATTTGAAACAAATTGAAAATTCATCTTTTGAAAAGATTAGTCTTTTTATTGATAAATTTCCATTTTTGTTAACAATTAAAGAAAATGAATGCCATAATGATGCTTTAGGTGAACTACAGAACCAATTTTCTGCTGCACAGTTTGAAGACTTAGCCTGTTCTGGAGAAGATAGACTTGATGTCCTCGTTGGTACCTTAAAACGAATAAAAAGAGCTGATGGAACACCAAAATATGATAGACTAGCAAGAGTTTTATGTGCTATTCTCGTAATTCCACACAGTAATGCTGAGTGCGAGTTCAATTTTTCCTCAAATGGCATTCATTGTTTGCTCTTCATTTGCAAATTTTTGTGTTATTTAAGGTTTGCTGCAACATTCTAAATATGATGCAAACTAATCGAAAACTGCAGAAGGTCGTGCTTTATTGCAATGGCATGGTTTATTGGATTGACAACTTGTTTTGGTGGGGATGAACATCATCAAGAGCACATTTTAAGGATTCACTTACACAGTACTACTCACTGTAATACTGGTACCAGAAGTTGGCTGTGGAATTACTTCAGTAATGTAACAAATATCAGTTAATTTTTTCTATGTATATTTCTTTAGATTTTCAGTGTTGTGAAGAGAAACAAAACTATGTTTCGTTTTTCAGTTTCACCAAAAACTAGAAAACATTTTAATTGCTAAATGTTATGAGGAAACTAATTGTTATGACAGGAAATTTTCCAAAGAATTTTTGGCTAAAGCCAAAAAATGCACTCTAAATTCATTGCAATAATTTTTTTGTGTAACATTAAGTTCTTGTTTTATGTTTCCTAATAAATTTTTTAGTTACTACTTAATTGAGATTTACTAATGTAAGTACAATTTTTTTTCTGTTTGTATAAATTGTTATTTTTTTAGTATCAAAGCATGATATTAATTCTTCGTGTTCTTCTGAATTTTGGAGAAATCTTCTGAATTTGGGGGAGAAATCTTCTGAATTTGGGGGAGAAATCTTCTGAATTTTTATCTTTAGAGGTTGGGAGGTATGGTGATCAGAAATAATTTTTTAAGCTGCTGTTTTGTATTTAGTTACATACAGATTTAAATATTGTGTTCTTTTATGAAATTTTGTTGTGTATTCAAAATTGTATATTTTATCTTTTTGAATTTCAGATGAATAATTTAATTGTATCATGTGTGTATAAAAGCTACTTCTTATTTATAGCTGGGGTTGCACTGGAGGTTAAACAAGCAGTGGTGTGATTCTAATAGTATGATGGAATACGTAAGTTTCCTATTTAGGTATTACATCTTGCCTTGAAAGTAATTTGGTATAATAGTACTTTATAAAATATGCATTTTGTGTGTACTGTAAACTGTTAAAGTACATGATGTTTAGGGATGCATTCTATGCAATTCGAAATCTACACATAATTTTTAACTCTTCAAAACTTACTAAATAAAAGTCTGCTGTTGACCAATAGTTTTTGCTAATACAGTTTCTGCGTACAGTTATATATATATATAATGTATTTTTCTAAATTTTTTGTAGTTAATACATTTTATGTGTACGCTTAAGTTTCACATAAAAGTAAATTGCAAAATGAAAGTTTACTGAGAGATCTAGTAACAGAATTACTAGTTACTAGAGAAGAAATTTTGCTGAAAGTGTACTGAGAGAGTTAATCATTGAAAAAATTCATCTATGGTGCTGCACTATGCTCATTCGTATTATAAGTTAAATTGTGTTTTTATGACAGGATTTGTCTGTCATTGTCCTGTAGGTTACTGAACACTGTAGTTGCTATTCATACTTCTAATAATTTATGCAAAAAAGTTCTGTTTCAAATATAATGAAAAATCCACAGTGCCTATCAGCATTTCCACTTCAATTTTTCCTCAAATGGCATTCATTGTTTGCTCTTCATTTGCAAATTTTTGTGTTATTTAAGGTTTGCTGCAACATTCTAAATATGATGCAAACTAATCGAAAACTGCAGAAGGTCGTGCTTTATTGCAATGGCATGGTTTATTGGATTGACAACTTGTTTTGGTGGGGATGAACATCATCAAGAGCACATTTTAAGGATTCACTTACACAGTACTACTCACTGTAATACTGGTACCAGAAGTTGGCTGTGGAATTACTTCAGTAATGTAACAAATATCAGTTAATTTTTTCTATGTATATTTCTTTAGATTTTTCTAACTGGCAGTGGTTCAAAAATCACCTAAATAGCCTTTGAACTACTCGACATTGAAAATGCAGCACTAAGGAGTGGCCAGAAAGGGATGAAACTCAGCAAACAGAGAGAGACAGTAGCAAACAATAATTTATCTTTATTTTGAAATTATATGCATAATACAGTGCAAGAACAACGTTGGCTAAGGAGGTTGTAGGACCACCTTGGACGGCGATATTTGAAGCAACACATCTAGGTACAGAGTCAGTGAGACTACGGCTGGCATCCTGAGGAATGGCTCTCCATTCTCTGTCAACCATTCACAGTTCGTCTTCTGAATGCAGCAATGGCAGTGTGCAAATGGTGATCAAATTGCATCCCAAATATGTTCGATTGGTGAGAGATCAGGAGAGAAAAGTGGCCAGGGAAACATCTGTACACCTTGCACAGCACATTGGCTGATGCGAGCAGTGTGTGGCCAGATGTTATCCTGCAGATAAAAGGCATTGGGCACTCTCTGAAGGTAGGGGAGTGTCACCGGCTGCAGCATATCATCCACGTTTTATTGCTGTCATAGTGCCCAAAATATGAACTAGAGATGTTCTGGAATCATACGCACTTGTGTCCCAAATAATGATGTCACGCGGTGGGGCATTCCACAATTGCTGCCAGATTGGATCTGTTTCCACGTCACTGTCACTCTCATTTATGGTGGCTGTTGTTAGAGAAACAGAAGTGTGACTGATCTGAGAACACAACCCTGTGCCATTTCATCGTCTACATCACTTGAGCCCGGCACCATTGCAGACATTGCTGTCTATGATATTGGGTGTGGTAGTTTTAACGTACACCACGAGTGCAGGCTAGCCACCAATCGATGGCAAATGGTTCTAGTCTATATGGGAACATTCAGAGTGTCTTGAACATGCTATAGCATGGAGGTAGAAGTGGCTGGCGAGTGCACTACTGCTTGCCACTCAACATCATTTGCATAACTTGGTGACGTGCATCTACCCTCAAATTTGCATACTTTTCAGGCCACTCCTTGGTGTTGCATTTTCAATGTCAGGTAGTGTATGTGCTAGTTCTTTCAATTTGCTGTCAATCTATAACACTTTTCAAAATATGTAATAAAAAGAATTCTGATATGTGAAACTTTACAATTTAAAACTTAAGTGTATGTCAAAATAAAATTCACTTAAGTGATAATTCGTTAAGATTTAGGAAATACACATATTGTAGTTCTGATGTATTTCATACTTCAGTGTTAAAAATTAACATGAAATTGTTGAGGTTTTATTTTTAAAGATGGTACTTAGATCCTAAAAGCTATAAGCCCCCTAAAATAGTTGAATGCAGTGTCTTGATATTGTAATGACATAAAATGTGTAAATGTAAGTACTAGAGTTGAGAAATAAAGGATTTGATATTAATATGGTAGGGTTGTTTGTAATTCAGTAAATACAATCAAGGTAGTAAATCTTTATCTGCATTTGATTACATTGTCTCAGCTAAGAACAAACAAACTGGTGATCCGTCACATTCGACTTGCTTATTTAATAACAGAAGCAACTACAGTCAAAAGTCGTTAATCCGGACTTGTCGGGACTTCAGCGATTCCGGATTATCGATTTTTCCGGATTGTAGATCATCAGTTTAAATCTCGTAAGATGGCATGCAGAAATTCTAAAATTAAAAATATGAAACCGTAATTTATGAAATAAAGAACAATTATGATCTAAAGGGTATCAAAATTTACAAAAAAAAAAAAAAAAAGCTTAATATTTATTTGTTTACTTTATTAAACATTTCTTTCAATGTAAGTTGTTTAAGTTGCTTCGTTTTATGTGATAATACTTTCTCTTTAATTCTATAAACAGACATAATTTCTTGTTCAGTGTTCAGTTACGAAGTTCCGCTGTTCAAGTCCCGTAATTGCTGTGCCGAGAATACCGACTAACTTGTCAATCAAAATTTTTTCGTTTTCACTAACCTCTCTGTCACCTTCTTCATGTCTTTATACATTTTTTGCAGCAATTCCACTTTTTGTTTGATGGACATCGAAACATGCTTTCGTTTTGTAGATCATTTGGGAGCTCCAGCATCGAAAATTCTATTTGATATAATCGAAAGTTCAAGCTTACTTTTATAGTATTGCTCTTACAGTCTGCAAAAAATAATATGCCGGATCCAATTCAAAAATTAAGGAACAACACAATCATTAATATTAACTGAAATAGATAATTAGATAATTTTAGCTTACACCGTCCGTTATACATTAAATGCGCAGGCGAAAACGTATTCTGCACTTGTGCACACGCATATGCGCAGTAGTCAAGGTCTTACGCGCACGCATAAAACGCCTGTGCGCATGTGCCAACGCGGCGCATGCGCAGAAAGTTTTTAGCTTTGAGGTCCGAATTAACGACTTTTGACTGTACATTAATGTATGCCAAAGTGAATAAGCATTAAAAACCCCACCATTTTGGCAAGAAAAACCGAACCTTTGGTTTCACCAAGTGAAAGTCCAGTTTCATATAAACATGGAAGAAAAGGAAATGAAAAGTCTAGCTACAGATTTTTCTGGAAGAAATGTTAAAATCTTTATGGCTGGATAAATTGCCTAATTTTATAAGAAATATTTTTGTCATAAGTGACAAAAATTGAGACAAATTGGCTACGATGGCTGACAAAATTCATGACATGAAATCTGTAAAAGAAATTTATGCTGTTTCACCAAACATTAGTATTAATGATGCTTTATTTGCAAGCCTTAAAACAGAAAATTGACAAAGTGGAAATAAATGATTGCTCTAGAACCATACTTAGATATAACCAGAATACATCTCGGTTATGATATCTAAGTATTGATCATCATATCTAAATATTGAGTCTCAAAGTCATAGCTGTTCATGAAAGCAATTTAATACAAAAGGTAAATATGTATAATATTTTCATTTTAAATTTGGCAATCGTTGTTGACCTGACAAATGCTATTTTCCATGTGCTTGGCAAGAGAAGTCATAAAACTCCCTATTGCAACAGGATTAGTGGCTACTGCTGTTGCTGATATCAGTGACAGCCACAAGTTTTGTTTATTTGTGAAGGACAAAACCACAGGACTGCAGTTGTTAATAGATTCAGGTGCTGTACTGATGTTAGTCTCATTCCTGCAACTCGTCATAATTAAACAGGTGATTTTAAATTATACGCAGCGAATGGAACAGAAATTCTCGGTTTTTGATAATTCTATTAGTACCTTAGATACAAATTCTAAATATGCTAATTTCTTACAATACCCAAATGAAGCAAAACCAAATTTATCACTGTCAGCATTTGAGTATAATGTTGAGCATTATTACAACAGGACAACCTGTTTATACCAAAGCTAGACAATTGGATTCTAAGTGATGACTAATAACAAAACAGGAATTTCAATATAGTGTATGAAATATGGAAAAACTCTGGATTGAGAATTAATATTTCTAAATCTGTTTTTGGAGTTAACGAATTGGAATTTTTAGGATTTCTAATTATATCTGAGGGATCAAAACCTCTTCCTGTAAGCTATTCTTAATGTTAAATTGCAGGACACTATTCATCAAATATGAACTTTTCTCAGTTAATTTCTACCATCATTTTTTTGAAAAATGCCGCTCGTGCTCAAGCTATTTTACATGACTATTTAAAAGGCGCGAAGAAAAGTGATACTTGGAAAATAACGTGGATGGATGAGGCCATTCAGCAATTTGAGAAATGTAAGGAAGATTTAGCAAATGTTGCCCTTCTGTTTCAGCCAGACCCAGAATTACTCTTTTCATTGTGCACAGGTGCTTTGGATTGGGCAGTAGGTTCAGTTTTACAATAATTTGAAAATGTTAGTTGGAAGCCAATCAGATTTTATTCTATGAACTATGGGTGATCAATTAGCAAAATTACAGTACACATGATTCCAAACTTCTTGCAATTTATTTTTCCATTAAATATGTCAAACATTTGTTAGAAGGACGAAAATTCACATTGTATAGATTAAATTACACATTAATTACATCATCACACATTAATTAAATTCACATTGTAATTATAAATGTTCACTTTGCAT